CAAAATCAGGTTTTTTGCGCCAATGGCTATAACTTTTAAATTTTTGTAGAACTTTATCAAACCAATGTTATCAAAAGGAAGGTTACTACTCGCACTACAAATCCATGCTTTGAAATTTTCACAAAAAATAACTTTTATGTGACTTTTTAACCGAAATCAAAACGTGGCCCAACATTCCCCTATGTTTGCACAATTTATGCAACTTGCTGCTGAATGCAATATTAATAGCCTTGGTATCGCAGCCTTCGGAATATTTTCTCGCCAGTTTATGCCTCATACTTCAACATACTTCTAAAAATTTGCTTATTAAATTTGAATGCGTCAATTGGTATATAAATTCTTCTCCTAGAGCTGTTATGCCCGACCACTATTGAACAAACGCCTAAGGTTCGAAKCGCCTAGAGTTTCGCAGTTTTACTACCTGACTGAATATGCAGCTGCTCCTAGTGATTGGCCGGAAGAAGGGAAAAGATTAAAGATTTGCTGCACTGCACTCAGATTTACTTGCTATACTTTTCTTTTCAAAAATTTGACTGCGTTGCACTTCCTGCTTCAAGTTGGTTTTTCGTTTGCTGAGTAGTATTGTGTTACGTTTTAACAGATTGTGCCCTGTTGAATTTGAATTGTGAAAAGTATTGAAGCGTTTATTTTGTGGTTTTTTGTTTAAAGTAAAACAGCCAGAAAAAACAATGATTTGGTGTGCTCTGTGGGTTGGTGGAATTAACGGTTCACATTTCTTTCAAAATATTGCCGGTGAGAATGTAACAGTCAATGGATTTAATGAGAAAACCCTTCGGTAAACAGATAATTTCACACGTTTTTTAATTTTTCCGAATTTAAACGCCGTTATTAAATTAATTTTCAAGGATTTTTTACTAAAACTAATTTTTGCAAAACAAAAGTTTCACCATACGTGACCCTTAAAATTCCGTCATTCGTTAATAAAAAGTATACAAAGAATTAATAACAATCAAAACATAAAGGACAATTCTGTGGAAATTTATTTACTTTTAAGTTAGACAATTAAAATCATTGCATAACTTTTTTCGCAAGAATATGAAATGTCCTTATGATATTACTTTCCTCTTTGAAATTTTATCTTCCACAGTAAACTGATTAATTTGTATAGCTTTCTCAATTAACCTATTTTGACAGCGCCATCATGCTTGCACCCTATTTATTCAAAAGTTCTCCAGGAAAATTAATCCCTTAATTAAATACTTTTCGCCACAAAACAGCAATGACAAAGTAAACGTGTAAAGCAGAAAAGATGCTTGGATATTCTTTACAGCGGGATTTTAGGTACACACCAAATATTTGTTGGAGTGACTAAGGAGAAAATTATCGTGATTATTATGTCATTATTCAAAATTTAGGAACCACTTTCCACTTCATTAAATACAACACTAAGTGGCAGAAACAACAAAGCAGACAATATATTATTGTTCATCCAGCTCGAAGAGTAAAATGTAGTAACAATAATGTCAACAACTTTAGAAACTCTCTCAATACATTGAATGTATCAAATCTTGGAGAATACTACTAATTTTAAATGTTCTTATTGATTTAGATAGATAAAGATGAACCCCATCCTAAAAAGAGCTTATGAAAATCGTTGGGATTACTTTTAGAGCGAGGAAATAAATATTGAARAATAATTAAATATTTTTCCCTTTACTTATAATTTAAGGTACTTTAAGTATGTTGAAAAATTCTAAAAGAGTCGTAAAAGACGGAAATTGGCTTACCGGTCAGCCTAAGTAGTAGTTTTGAAAATCTGGATGAATATTTTTGTGATAAGAGCATGTCCTTATGCCAAAAGAAGTTAAAAGCCGATCAGTACTTTCTTGAGCTCTCATATACCTAACATAAATATTATCGAACTGCTGACAATTTTTGAAAATATGCTATATA